CCCTGCCGCCACCACCAGGCATCGGTGTCCTGGGTGGAGCACGGGGCCTTCACACACCCGGGGGGCGCAGGCCAGCCCTGAAGTACCTGTTGCTGGCCCCAGGGGGCGACCGGGTGAGGCTGGTCAAACCAGGGGGGCTTGTTGGGCGGGATCTGGTCGTGGGGCCCAGGGCCCCGGGGGCCGGCGGCCGAGGGATCCTGGACACCCGCTGCAGAGTCGTACTCGGAGGAGCCGGGCATCTGGATGGGTGGCTTGCTGTCATCTGCCCAGGGAGAGGCAGTCAGAGCCTGGCGGCCGGAGAGTCCCGCACCCCTGTACCAACCTCAGCTGGCCTCAGGACCCCCACAGCCCTCTCCTTTCAGGGAGGGAACTGTGGGGAGACCCCATTGGCCACCGCTTCCTGACGTGCCGGTCGGTCCCAGCCACCCCATTCCAGTTCGCACAGGTAGTTTTCCCACTGAGGTTTTGAAAATTAGTAAATAATTTTTCTAGTTAAAAGCTTACAGCTGGGAGGCTGAGGCAGGAAGATCGTGAGCTTGAGGCCAGCCTAGGCTACATAGCAGCTTTAAGGCCACCGTGGGCTACTACCACAGTGAGGCTGTTTCAAAAGCAAAACAACCAAAGAAGTTCACTTCCCTCAGTTACTCTTTCTCAAGTGGGTTTGTCCACGCTGCGTAATTCCCCATCACCAAGCTGCACCTCTAGCCCTTGCCCAGTAGGGATTTTCTGAGACAGCATCGCACCGTGTTGCGTCAACTGGCCTCAAGCTCCTGGGTGCAAGGGATGCTTCTGCCTCAGCCTCCTGAGTGACAGCCCGCGCCCACTGCCTTACTAGCGTTAGTATCAGATGTTCTCGCAGTCGCAGGCAGGTCCCGTCCGAGGTGACCTACTTCAAACAAGTTCCATTTCCCTGATCCAAAACTCAGGGCCTGGAAGCATTTGACACCTCAGTGTTTTGAATTTGGGGATATTCACAAAAACTTTACTGAGTATCCCTTACGTGAAAATCTAGTCAGAGACCTTAGGATGTCTGATCCTTTCCAGTACTAAAAACGCTGCAGGTTCTGGGTTCCGGGTGGGGTGGCGCAGCCTGTGCTTTGCCAGACTTCACCTTAGTTCCTCCCGGCGCGTCCACACCTCTGCGATGGTGCGTCCTGGCCGAGCCGCACTCCAGCTCCAGCGCAGTGTGGGCCCTCGCGTCCCACCC